TTTTTTTTTTTTTTTTTAAGCATAAACTCTTTTGTCCAGTTTCTCAGAAAACAAGACGGCATATGTTCAGACAGCATCTCAAATGAATGCGTCTTGATTTAAGGATGTTTAGATATGTGTACTGGAAAACAAGACTAAAATACTGAAGAAGATATCCATTTTTTGCAGTGCATGCAACATTTATTGCCACGACTTTATAAATTAAAGTCTTCCTGCCCTGAATTAAGACTTTGTGAGGTCTTGATTTGTGAAAATGCGAATTAAGACTTTTTTAAGACATGCAGAAACCCTCTCTGGAGCAAAGAGGTTTGATATACAGGTGCTGCCGATAATGAGGGCTTGCAACTGTGCAAATTCTCACGGTGGCATCAATTTCAATGCCATTGACTTTTTTTTTGGTAACCAAGTGTGCATTAGGCCTGTCGCAATAATCAATATATCGACTTATCGCGCAATATTGCAATCTATAAAGTCTATTAAACATTTCAATACCGAATGTTGTCAGTCTTCCCAGCACGATTTCCTCAATATTTCCAAGCGCTTTCGCTAACACACGTTATTTAATAAATAAACAGCACGTCCGCTAACTTATTTTGAGGTTTATATGTGAAACGACTGATATTTATATCTATATTCACACTCTTACCTAGATAACGATACACACTCCTATTGTGTCACAACAACAACTCATAGAACAAAGATATGCCTAATCTTCAAAATATTGTGATAGTTTCATTCCATCTACAAGCCAACTACAGATTAAGCTACATTAATGTACAATTGCCTTAAAACTGCACCCTTGATATACGTGTACAAACACCCCCTTTGATGTTTCGAATATTTAAGAAAAAATTAATACTCTTTTTGTAAGATTATTATTATCATCATCTTCGTGTATGAGATGGGTGAAGCTTAGCTCAATATGTTTTGCAGCGTTTCGAATAATAAATGCGTGTATGCATGAAGAATGTGTTTACATAAATATAAGAGGGACATAGGCTAAATCTTTAATTGTGATGTAACTATTAACGGTGAGATGATGAGAAGATGTGTTGTAATTTATCAATAGAAGACGTCTTTTTGTATGTCATTTACCGCCGAACTAATATTCTTGCTGTGTTGTGGTACTTGGTTCTGTTTTTATTTTTATTGTTTAATTCGCTCTTGATGCCCAAATGCACTTATTTAGCAAGACGGCTAATTAACCGTATTATGCAACTATGCAATAATTTTACTAAGTTTGTGTAATTAAATAGCAATAAAACAGCACAGAATCTCAAGATTTTTTTTTTATATTGCGAGTCATTAGGCAGCTGTTGCTAATAATAGAAACAGTTGTCCTCTGAGTGCTGAAATATTAATTAAACGGGATTTTTAAAATAGTGAATATTTTTTCCATGCTGTCAGACAATATGAATGAAAATAACAACCGTATAAACAGCACGTTTAGCCTATTTTATTAATGCTTTACTACTAAGCTCTACGAAGCTATTTTTTACGGCTGTTAAAATATACCCAGATACCAAGAATGTGTAATAGATGCACTTTGACTAAATTGTTCAAATTGGTAGTTTTGATTTAGATTCGATTCAATGTTCGTTCTTCATATTCTCATTAAATTTATAACTAGACGTAATACTTATGTAAAACACATTCTCACTCTCTAATAAATATATAGGCTACTGTAAAAAAAAAAAAAAAGAACGTTAAATAATTAGCCCGCAATAAAACAAGCCTTTACAGCTGTTTTCTGTGAGGATTCAGTTTTTATTTCTCGTCTACAAAAGAATCGTGGGTCAAAATTAAATTCTTAATGATGCTGTTACTGCATGTGTCACATCCATGATCACAAAGTGCATATTTTTCTTCCCCCCTTCTCTTTGCTCTTCTCGTTATCTCTATCGCGCTCTCTCGTTTTCCAGCTCAGATCAAACAGTGGCGGAATAAGATGCCCTTTTCTGCAGTTTTGGCCTCATCCCAGCATCATCTTCATCATCATCATCATCATCATCATCATCACGATCCCTGGTGTTTCCAAACGCTAACCAGTCTAGCTTAATGACATTAATTTGCTCCTCTTGTCAATCTTGGCCAATAGCGAGCATGGAAGGGTGATGTGGATCTGAAGGACAGATTAGGTTCCCCCTGCACCCCACCCCAGCCCATCCCGCCTCTATGGGAAGGGGGCTCGTGGTGAGGAGCGCGGATCAAGGGGCAGACGCTTCGCCAAGTATAAATAGTGTGACTTCAATAGTGAATCGGCAGCAAGTCCGTACACTCCGCAACAAGAGGAATTGTCAAAGATCTCGACACATCATCTCGCATTCAGGCCGATGTTGATGTGTTATGGTAGACTGCTGAGGATCTAAAGAGAAGATTGCATTTTTTTCTTCTTCTTGGGCGCAGTGATGGAAGAACTTACCGCGTTTGTCTCCAAATCTTTTGATCAGAAAGTGAAGGAAAAGAAGGAAGTGATCACGTACCGGGAGGTGCTGGAGACCGGCTCGGCGAGGAACAGGGAGAGTCTGTCGGTGGAACCGGTTCGCGAGGAGCTGAGCAGCATCACGCGGGGCGGCGTGCGCTCATCGCCGGCCACAGAAGCGGACATGCTCGCGTCAGAGAGAACCAGAGACTCGATCAGCCCCAAACTCACAGACGGTGAGTGTTTCCTTCGTTTCTCTAACCCAGTATATTTACGAAAATGATTTCATCGCGCTATTTCTTCTTCAAAGGCCTGTTTACTGTCTATAATTTAAGTTTTAGTACTTCTTCGCTTTCGATGTTTTTTATTTATTATAGGCCTATTTTAAAGTCACGTTAATTTCGTTCAGGTTACACGAAACGTAATAATCACACTATAGTAATTTGACAGTCATCGCTGTTATGAAGCAGCCTGAAAACAAAAGAATCAATCAAAAGTTAAGTGATCAAATCGAGCGCTGTAACATTGTGGCTGTTTTTTTGTAGGACAGTAGTTGCGGGCCTATATATTTTATTTAAAAAAAAAAAATAGTTTGAACGTTTGAAAGATTTAGATTATCCATGAGATAACCATCTGTAGAAATAAAATCCGCTGGTAGATGTACATGAAGGGCTTCATAGGCTTTTAACAGAAAAAAAATAATGTAGAAATCAAACAAACAAAGAATGTGCCAGTGTATTATAAATAAGCACGCATTTTACAAAAAAAACTGAAGGCCTATATTTCAATCAGCCTGTTAGAAGTCTGAGATTTAAAATAATATCATGAGATCAACAGCCATAATATTAATAACAGTAATAATAATAATAATAATAATAATGTGAACTGCTGACCATTTCGATTAGACGTAGTCTATTATTTTTGCTTTAGAAGCACTAAATATCTAACACACAGGCTATTGTTTTAATGCAGGTTAATTATTTTGACAGCAGGGATTTTCATTCAGCTGCGTTAATTGGTGTCTTTATTGATTTCATTTTCTTAACATCGAGCCGTTTTGCCAGGTTGTTAATTTCGCATGCAATAGGATAATATTCCTGCCATAAGCATCCGGTTCAGAGAGACTCTCCATGCATATGTATAGCGTGTAAATAATTAAAGAGCTCTGTGTAGGACAAAACATCCGTGACCGACATCAGTGGGCACACACTGCCCTCCTTTCTCATCACTGGATGAAGCGTTCATTCGTGTTTTCTGCTCCGTTTTCAGGTAACACAGATATGAAAGAACGCAAAGAGGATTGTAAGCCGCTGGAGGATGAGACACAGACTAAAATCAAGCAGAGAAGGAGTCGGACTAACTTTACCCTTGAGCAGCTGAATGAGCTGGAGAGACTGTTCGATGAAACGCACTATCCAGACGCCTTTATGAGAGAGGAGCTGAGCCAGAGACTCGGGCTGTCGGAGGCCAGGGTACAGGTCAGGCATGCATGTGCTGTCTACATGTGTGCAATGGATGCAGTGTGCATTATGGTTTCCCTTGCGAGAGGAGAAACACTTTCGATTAATGCAATGTTGAACGTTATAGAGGCTGTATGCAACTGCATATGAATTGCAAATAATTAATGAATTGCTTAGGCTATATATAGGCGATTGCATAATTAACGTGCTATTATTACGTAATTACATATTCTGTTACGTGCAATGTAGACGCGTATATCATATAGGTAGGCTAATCAGTTCATTAAACTATTGACACATTAAGATTAGCAATGCAGAGTCTCCGAAATAATTCCTAAGAACTAAAAGATTAAAGATGAAAATGTATTTGTAATTTGTATAGGCCTATACAAATTGTGTTACAAAAAGTGTTACATGGGCACTGCTATCCTATTGTTGTTCTTGCCAACTAGCCACTGCTAAACACTAAGTTTACAGCACATATTAACGTTGCTATCATTGGTGTTATATGTGAATATTAACATTCATAGCGTGGTAAATAAAATTAGATATCAGCGTATGTGTTGAATGATATTGCCGGAAAAAACGTGATATTACGCCGCTTAAATCAACGCCGCTGAGCGATAATGAACAAAACAACGAACTAAAATTATTCCCTGATTTGTGCGCATTGGCCTGCAGGCAACATCTGTAGTGTGCTTTTTAGGATGGGGAAGACCATCTGCACAGAAACATAATAAGGCTCAATATATGTGTAACAAGAGACGAGCGACTGAGCCGAATAATGACATTCAACATAGACATTGGCTCTGGTGTGATTGATCAGAAGAAGAAAAAAAAACAATATCTTATTTCATTCTCTTTTATCTATTCATTCCTTGGGTGGGGATATAAAATTCACTCTTTGAATACATTGGTCCTTTAAAAAAAAAAATGGGCTCAAAAGACCTCCCTGGAAAAAGTTAAACCATCGTCTCTCTTTGGGATCTTACCAAAGGGCATTGTCCCAAGCAAGGCCTGCGGATTTACATAAATTATCATCATCATTTTTACCCAAATAAAGATCTGATGCTCTTTTCATATTCAGCATTCACAGACAAGGCCACACCGCTGGCTCAAAGACAACACTGCCATTTTACCGGATAAAGTCATAACGCATCGGGATTTATTATCATATATTTATTACCGCGTTTCCACTTTCACTTACAGCAGAAATATCATGCAAATGCAGTGTCGCTTGCTCGTTGTTAGGCTGAATCAAAATGAATAAACAGTGCACTGGAACTATGCGCGATTCAAAACAGATGCATGAGACACAATCATTTCCAAATCTCCAATGCACATAACATAGGCGATATGGCAGAGAAATATAACACTAACTTTCTCTCTGAAATAAGCAATTAATGTCTCAATTTTAGCCTGCTACTGAAGCCCAGGCATATTGTCCCATGCTGGGTATTTGCTGTCAGAGGATCACTTTGCTTCTTCTGGGACTCTAATCCCTGGACAGATTAAACCATTGCAGAAAGACGATATATTATGGCACTTTTTCAGATGCATGACTTGAAGATTCTCTTTCTTTCCGTTTGTTTAACATTTTAACAAATCTGTTTGTTTTGTGGTTATAGTTGGCCGCTTTTTACGTCTATTCGCCGCTCGTTATAGAGATATAATAATTCAAATGTGCGGTTAAGCGCTATGAATATTTTAGAGGTCCTCAGGGATGCATAGTTTTGCTGAGACTGTTGTCATTTTTGGAGGATTTACACATGCCCTCACCAACAGCTGTCAATCAATGTCTTGTGTTTTCAGGTTTGGTTTCAGAACCGACGGGCCAAATGCAGAAAGCAGGAAAATCAGTTGCATAAAGGTGCGTTGGATTCAAAGTTTCACATGCGTTTGAGTGATTTACAAACTATAGGCTTTATAAATTAGTGATTGCTATTATGCTAGTTGTTGTATTTATTTTGGTTCTCTGTATTATTAAAACCTTATTGTTTTTGCTGATAAATCATCGGATATTTGTAGACGGCACATTTAGCTACAACACATAGGCCTACAGAATACAAATCTTTTAGCTACTAAACGGTGTATCTTTTTATGTGCAGAAATGTTGCAATTCATGCAGTGCCTAGTTTTCGAGCACACACGGATAAAAACTCAATGTCAGCATTGTTTTCAGGAGTTCTCATCGGAGCGGCGAGTCAGTTTGAAGCGTGTCGCGTCGCTCCATATGTCAACGTGGGAGCTCTGCGCATGCCATTCCAGCAGGCAAGTTACAATGCAGACGCGTCCTATTTCTATTTCTATGAATCCACACTCAGATTTCCCATAAATTAGTGATTGCTATTATGCTAGTTGTTGTATTTATTTTGGTTCTCTGTATTATTAAAACCTTATTGTTTTTGCTGATAAATCATCGGATTTTTTTTTTAGACGGCACATTTAGCTACAACACATAGGCCTACAGAATACAAATCTTTTAGCTACTAAACGGTGTATCTTTTTATGTGCAGAAATGTTGCAATTCATGCAGTGCCTAGTTTTCGAGCACACACGGATAAAAACTCAATGTCAGCATTGTTTTCAGGAGTTCTCATCGGAGCGGCGAGTCAGTTTGAAGCGTGTCGCGTCGCTCCATATGTCAACGTGGGAGCTCTGCGCATGCCATTCCAGCAGGCAAGTTACAATGCAGACGCGTCCTATTTCTATTTCTATGAATCCACACTCAGATTTCCCTCCTTTTGTGATTGCAATGACATAAGTGAGACATTTTGACGAAGAATATAACTGTTAGGCTATTGCATAGACGAGTTGAGATTTGTGAATTTTTCGTGCTTGCCCCATGGATTTGAATCATATTCAGGGGGGGCATTGCAAGCACACCGGAATGCAGGTGTCCGAATGCATTTATTTATTTATTTTTTAGCTATGATGATAAATGCAATTGATCCAGTGCCCAGTAACAGCTCTGCATAGTCTCTCTTAAGTTAATGTGTTTCTCCCCCTCTCTTCCCACCCGTGCGTCCATAGGATAGTCATTGCAACGTGCCGCCCTTCTCCTTTCAGGTGCAGGCGCAGCTGCAGCTGGACAGCGCCGTGGCCCACGCGCACCATCACCTGCACTCGCACCTGGCGGCGCACGCGCCCTACATGATGTTTCCCGCCCCGCCGTTCGGGTTGCCCCTGGCGACGCTCGCGGCGGAATCCGCCTCGGCAGCTTCGGTGGTGGCGGCGGCAGCCGCGGCAAAAAGCACCAACAAAAACTCGAGCATCGCGGATCTGAGACTGAAGGCGAAAAAGCACGCGGCGGCGCTGGGGCTGTGACGTCACTGAGCACCGAACGCGACGCTGAGGCAGAAACACAAACACATTATTTATGTTTTCCTGTGAAGGACACGCGAGAGAAAAAGGAGAGGCTATTTATAAGAACACAAACTGTGAAGTGGACAAACTTTGCGTGGATCTTTTCGCGGATGGAGGGACAACTACAAAACGTTTGAATGAACTACGAGAAAATAAAAAAGTTGAACTTTTAGTGAACTTTTGCAGAAGACAAGAAGCTGAATCTGAATATGATGATATAAAGCAGCTGGGACGATTGTTCGGCTGTTTGTGAGACAACGCGAACATTTCTGCTTTAATACGTTATTAGTAATTAATGAAAATAAAGAGGCTGGCCTCGTTTTATTTGAAACAAAGTTTCTCTGTGGATATTTGTGAAATATTACAGAAATCACTTTTGTTGCCAAACATGAAAACCGCAGTGTTAAACACGGATAAAACACGATTTCAGTTCAAGTTTATGCTCTTTGAGTTCTGAAACAAAATAAATGAGCATTAAACGAAACGATGATCATTCCTTTGCCTATTAATGAGTGTATAGTGAATATAATCCGATATCAGGTGATTATTCAATGGAGATCCGTCAGATGCCCAGTTCACATGAACACACATCAGGCTTTTATTCTCGGTGTAAAAATCAAATTCAGGTAATACACTAATATTGATATGGTACGGGCACGTGTAAAATACCTATGTTAATAACAACAACAAAAAAAAATACTTTGGTTGTTTTATGCTTCATGATCAGGGCATTGTGGGAGCACTCTGGATTTTCTTTGCTATTTCTTTTAGTTCTTGTTCCTTCATCTTTTGTACAACCATGTGAATCTAAATGTAATGTTCATGTTTTATAAGGGTTATAAAACTGCGGGCACTCATTTTTATGATATCTATGATTTTATCATGACTGTGAAACGTGAGCTCACCTCAACACCGTGTTTTCGATTCATAAAATAAATGTAAAAAAAAAAAAAAAGACTGTAGCATCTGTGTCATGGTATACGCAGTTCGTATTATTTAATTGTTCTTTTTTGGTAAATAGGTGCATGTGATGGGAGCGTTTAAACAGAATCCTTCATGTGCACTTTATTCTTTAAGAATTGCTCTGGCGCTGGCGGTGTCTTATAATTTAATGTCTGAAATTATACACTGCAAATAGGCCTAATTAAAAGTCGACCCGTTTCTGTTTGGTTTGGATGATTCTGTTGTGTATGTTACGCATTATGCAACGTTTGTATTTATTATTAATGAATGTTATTAGCGTGTTGCAAAAAATCAATTAGGCCTATATATATGTATACATACATAAAAACATAGTTATTGGGGAAAACGTTTATCACAAAATCACACTGACCTCTTTCAGCTCTGGATGCTGGAAACATATGGAGACTGCCGCTGGGACTGAGCTTCATAGCAAGCGCTTCTTCTGCAGTGAAATTTCAAAATAACACTTTAGAAAAAAAAAATTGGAAGAAATATTTTCATATGAGATATTTTTGTTCATTCTGTTTTAAATAAATAAATAATCAAGAATACAAATATTTGCTAACAATTTTTACGGAATCGAAATTACATATACACACATATATATATAGACCTATATATATATATGTGTGGTGCATCGCTTGCATTCTTCTGAAGCTTCATCAGCCCGCCTATCGAGAACTGAAGCGGTTCTCTTGAGAATCTGATAAATACCAAATGGCATCTCCTATCGCGAATAACCTGTCTGGTCAGATTACTGTCTGGATACAAAGTACAATGTTTTGGCCTATTAATTAATACTGCTTTAACAAAGGCGCGGTATAAAGAGGGCTTGTGTATCCAGCCCAGGGCTGCACTCGGACGCCAGTGCTATTGAATTATTGATTCCTCTTATGCTTAGTTGAGACAAACTTGTGAGTGAGGGATTGCTGTACAGAGGACGAAAGGTGGGTATTAAAAACGAGCGATTCACCCCAAATCGGATACATTTACCAGCAGATTTGGACACTGCGCTTTGGATATAAACATATACTTTTTCTTCAATTTTCTGAGTAGGCTAAGTGAGAGTCACTCCTGTAAACAGCATGACCTTGAACTAGAGCTAGAAAAGTGATCTGACAAATTAGAGACCTCGACTGCAAACTGCACTATAACAAATAGCAGTTTTTAACACAATAAATTACAATAGCAACCTATTCTGAAAATACAGTAGGCCTACACTCTTAAAAATAAAGGTGCTTAAAAGGTTCTTCACAGCAATGCCATAGAAGAACCATTTTTGGTTCCACAAAGAAGCATTCAGTCAAAGGTTCTTTAAAGAACCATCTCTTTCTTACCTTTTTATAATCTGAAGAACCTTCTTTCGTCACAAAGAAGCTTTTGTGAAACAGAAAGGTTCTTCAGATGTTAAAGGTTCTTAATGGAACCATTTAGACAAAAAGGTTCTTCTATGGCATCGTGAAGCACCTTTATTTTTAAGAGTGTATGTTATTATATTACGATATGAATTCTTCCAGCTACTGTCCGGCCTTGAATGTTTATTGCAGAATTTACAGCAAGGGAATGTAAAGTGAGTGTGACTAATGGAGGACTAACACTGAACTTCTGGGGTGAGACAGAGGTTAAAGAACTGATGGGGGTCAAATGATTTTAGGTTCAAATCAATGTATTTATTTATTTATAAATAGAATGTTTTCAGAATTTTGCAGACAAATCAGGTTGCTTTCTCTCATAACACCATAAATTACTTTATAATAACAAAAATAAGGAGATTTCCTTTCTTTGTAGGATCCCACAATAGGGAAAAACCCATTAGCCACTACATGAAAACTTTAATTTGGTATGCTTAGGCAAGCATAGGGACTTATCGGAAGAGTTTAACATGACTTTTCCTCTGGCTCAATGGTCTTGAAAGGAGGCGAGGAGAGCGAGAGAACACAAAGATAAGGTAGCTCTCTAAAGGTTTGCCTTTGTTATATATTAAGTGCTGCAAAAGAGAAATGTGCACACATCATCAGACAAAAGACAAGCAACATCAGGGGAGAGCAAGGAGATGAAAGACAGACTTCAAAGGGGCGAAATGGAGCGAAAGTGAGACAGTAACCTGCCTAAAACTTGCTCAAATGCACCAATTAAAGCAGCTTATTGCTTGGATTTATCCTACGAGCAGTGCGTCCGTATGAACCACTTCGCAACCAATGTGTATCATTTAAAACGGCCCTCAATGGTGCTCAGTCAAGATGAAAACAATGGGACTGACCAAATAAAAGCCTGATTTATAAAGGCTGGGAAAAACGGCAACACTCAGCAATTTAATCTATCTGTTGGGAAGAAAGCTGCACAATACTAAATGAAGTCAAACAAAGTGAGGAATTGTTGTTCGGCACCCTGTTTAGGTAGTGCGGACGGACCGGCAAATCTTTTACGGACTATGAGCATTTATTTATTTTTGATTTAATTCCTGTTGCAGATGGCACTAACGCAACTCAATAACTACAATTAACCGGCCCTGAGGGGAGGACAAAACCGAGGCATTTCATCCCCGCAAAGTGAAAATCACACAAGACATAAAGCGTATTTACCCTTGTGATAGTAATACTGTAAGTTTACTCTCTCCAGTTGAAGTTGTAAATTAACCATACATAATTTTCTGTTTTATTTATTTTACCTGAATATATTTTCATCAAGACGGAACATTGGAATATTCTTTGAAACAATGTGCTATGACAATAACCATACACTCACGTCATGTGATATTTATACTAAGAGTCTTGAATTACACAAATCTCAGTATGAACTCTACCGCTTTGTTGAAGTCAGTATTGTATACAGAAGTTAACAGAGTGTCTCAAAACAGCTGGCTGAGTATAGCAGTTCACAAACCAGGCAAAGAAGCACTATAGCACTTTTTTTCCCCACCAGGGTACATAAGAAATCCTTGACCCACCCAAAAGGAAAATCTCTCCACATTTTTATTCTCTAAATGTTTTTTATGAATCTTTATGGATGTGTTTTATAGATCTTTGAGAAGATTCTATTGTATCAAATGTGTAATGTGAGATATTAAGTAGTATATACAAGGTCTGATATTTAGAGCTCAGTTGGATCTTGTCAGCAGTATTAAGTAATCTCATGATTTACTTAAAGTTAATCTGAACCCTAAATGGACCCACTCTAAAGGGTTACCGTATTATAGACTTGAGCGGTCAAGTATGTATAATAGCACAGCCGAACGTGCGCTTGTGGGTTGCGGATAATGCAGAGGAATAGATTGTTACTCAATATAAAATTATGTCAAAGTCTTTAAAGAAACAGACTAAGTAGACATGATGTTCCGGGGGAAACATCACAGGGGCTGTCAGGGGCAAGCAGGCTTTGATGGAACAGGAGGACCGCATCTACATTGGATTTGAATGAGCTGGTCTTAACTACAACACTGCGTGGGATGCCATTCAAAAGTTTTTCATTGTTTTATAATAATGGATTAAATGTTACCGTATAGCATGAATTTCCATGTACCGCATCTCTACTTCCTAAGATTCAAACATTAATCAAATAGAAATAAATAAAACTGAACATTGTGCTTAAATGTGGTTGGACAAGGAAAACAGGAAGAGTGAGGAAACAGAGAGAAAGAGTGAGAGGACGAGCGAGATAGAGAGAAAGAGAGAGAGGGCGAGAGAGAGAGAGCGATTGACAGCGCACAGTGGTAGGAGAGTGGTTCCTGCTGTAAAAGTTTATCCCTCTGGCACCATTATATAAGCATACATATGGGACAGCCGCAATGGAAGACGACACTTTAAATGACATTATTATAAAATGCAATACTCCTGGAATGATCCCTTATTGAATTAGGTCCCATGATCCAAGATGAATTTCCCGGTTCTCTAATCCATCAAGGGGGGAATATTAAAAGATAGGACTCAACTGGCATTAGAATCGCTCTCAGTCTTTACTTTCATTATTTTGAATTAGGGTGCTGCTGGGGGAGAGCCTCTTAATGAGAATTACAATGATTCAGTGGCCTCGACCTGCCTTCTGACAAGTGAAATATTAACTCCTCAGTCATAGCTGTCTGAATTAAAATACTTGGGAGCTGCGGACGTGCTAAATTAAATTGGCCTTTTATGTTCCTTACACGGCTGACCCCCTGTGGGGCTGGAAAAGCAAGGACAGTGGCGGCGCATGAGTCAAGGTGTATGAAAGCGAGTGGAAGCGAGACCCGGCTGTTAAAGCGCTTAAAGTTCTTTACCTGCTCAGCAGGTGCTCTTTCTGCACCTCTACTCAAAC